TCCACGGCAGCGGCCACGGCCCGGCCCGGGGCGGAGCGCAGCGGCCGCCCGAGTTTCGTTTCCCCCGGGCGCCTCCTCCGGCCGGGCTCCCGCGGGTGCCGGAGAGCCGAGAGAGCGCGGCTGGCGGCTCTGCTCCGGTCCCTGCTCTGCTGGAGACCCCTGCGGTTCCCGGGCTGTGCCCCACTGCCGAGCAGAGCTCCCCACGCCAGCCAGAAAGCCCAGTACCGGCCCAGCTCTTCCAGTGGCTTGGTCCGAGGGTTTGGGTTGACTGTAGAAGTGGAATGTGACAGCTCTCCATGACCCGGCCTTGACTTTTATTGACTCTCAAAAAAAGTCGCTGTTATCTACACGATTTCATTTTCACAGAAAATTTCCCGTTTTTTGTAACAAGTCATACCAGAGTTGCTGACACGGCTGGTCTAGTGACCCCGCTGAAGAGCAAGTGGCACAGGCTTGCACAGCCCCATTGTGTGAAGTTCAGGTTACTGGATGGACTGAACTCTTCTGAGGTGATCCCAGGTGACTCAGTTCATCTTAAAATAACAACATATGTCAACCCAAATGAAGACTGACATCATTCCTCACACAAGTCAGAAGGTGCTTTGCTATTGATTTCAAGGCCTGCAGAATTAGGTTGTTGAAAAGATTTGCTGAACCAGCACGTGAGCTAGAATGAAGCAGGTTTCATGGGGAGAGAGAGAGGGAACACAGGGAAGCTCATGGGAGCATATCAGCAAGCAGAACTTCTGCATCGCTTGGAGTTGGATGGAGACGAGCTGCCTGAGACAGGCAGAATGATGGTCCAACTCAATTCTGCACTATTGGGGGGGTGGGGAAGAGTTAATCTCACTAATCCCTGCAAGTATTGGCACTTCCCTATTTCTGCAGAAGAGAACTATTCCGGGTATCACAGACTGGCTGGGCAATTGTCAGCAAAAGGTGGAAGCCTCACCAGAAACTTAGTCTGCAAGACTTCCTCTTGATTTGCAAACTAAGGCTATCCAAAAAGAAGAATTAAGTATCTGAATGACTGGCTGCTTGGCAGAACCAAATCTTAGACTTGGTCTTGAGGCAAGAAAACACTCAGTGCACTGTATCAGCCCATGCAAATCTTCATCAACTCCTGCACAGAATGGATGTAAGTGGTACCTGATCAGGGGGCACTCACCCTCCAGTGCTGGTCCTCATTCATTGAGTGTCTTCAAGCAAGTCACCGAAGGTAATATTTTTAAAACTAGTTTCTGCCTTTCCATGCTTAGACTAATCAAGCTCATTAAGCATCAGCTGATTTTTAGGAGGTGAGACAGATCAGCGTGTGTTCATCCTGCACTCATGATGGGTTTACCAGGGCACTACATGGGGCTGCTTTGGAAAACAACGGTCTTCACATGTTGGATTTGCCATTCATAAAAAAGACAAACAGCAGAGACTGTTGAAAGCAAGGAGCTAGGAGTATCTGTAATGAGAGAGATTCCATTACAGTATGCTCCATGATTCAAACGTGATTTTTATTTTTTACTGTGCCAGAGATGTAACACTGTAAAAGCAATCAAACTCACCCTGTTGAAAACAGCCATGTCCTTATCTGGACAGGAGCTGCAGCCAGGTAGAATGTAGCTGCCTGACTTTTTCCTCCTCGAGAAGGACATCCTGTGACTCCTAGATCCAACAGGACACCCTGCATCTTCCTGAGGGGAGATGGTATCTTGGCCTCTCAGTCACTGTCCCTGTGTACTCATGTAACAGATGACCCCATGGCACTGGCTGGATTGCCAGGTACATCCTTCAGGATGTAGAGGAGTCCTTCTGTTGGCAGACCAAGGCAAGAAAAGGAGGAGCTGGTATAACAGCACGTGCAGGAGTCCTCAAGGAAATGCATGCCAGCCCTTCTGGGGTCAGACTCTCCATCAACTTTGTTTTGTTTTTTTCCAGAGACAACACTGGACGATTCACCCCCATGGCAGGCTGGGAAGGCCTCCTCTGCTCAAAAGCAGAGATGGGTAGGAAGGGAGAAGGCACTTCGAAGTTCTGCAGGGTCACAGATGGTTTCTGAGTATCTGCACTCCCTCATTAATTTCTCTGTTGCCACCCTTCCTGTGCCTGGGGCTGTTGAAGGAAGAAGCCCTTTGCACTGGAGTCCCTGCTGGGCCTTGAGCACCATCCTTGCCAGCAGGAAGAGTCCACAGAGCAATGCTGAACAGAGCCCAAGTGTAGTTCACCAGAACTCAGTGCTAGTCTTAACCAGTCAAAGGCTGGGCAATAACTCCATTTAAGGCATCTATCCACTCCCTCTGCTCCCTGTCGTTCTCACATATAAACACAAACTCTCTCATCGGTGTGACCACAGTGATCGCTGGCTTCCTCTTCTTCACCCGAACTCCCTGGGGCAAGCCAGCTCGTACTTCATATCCCTCATCCATCCTTCCAATAAAAACCTGGCCCTGTGCAAATGCATCCTAGAAAGGAGGAGGCAGAAGACACGCGTTAGCTGGTGGACAGCACGGCTCCAGCAGTCACTGTTCTATCCTTTGACATGGAACAGGAACTGGGGATGTGTAAAGGGGACGCTGATTTGGTGACAGGCAGCAGGAAACACAGCTGAGTTTTTTTACACTCATAGGCATTCTCAGAAGGACATGGGGACCCACCCTTACAGAGCTGGTTGTTGGGTGTTTAGGAGCAAGGAGGGATATTCTCATGGCCAGAGCAGTGCCAGGAAGCAGGACATTTGGGCTGTTATGCCTCTGTTATTGGTATATTGCTCATCTTGCCTAAGATTACAGGCACAATGGCAACAGGGCTGGGAGGGAGTGGGCATAAATGCTACAGGCAGTAGCAGCTACTTCTGAAAGACTTAGATATTCCTCACAGCCCCTGAAAGAGCCAGAGTTCCCACACAGCTCAGCTTCAAGGAGATCCCTTGACAAGGGAGGTGAGCTCCCGAGGCGGAGCCTGCTTCAGTCGTGCGCACCCACTGGAAGAGCTGGATGAGAACAGACCCTTCCTCCCCACCCAACTTCATGAAGGCATTGTGGAATAGCAGAGAACTCTCCTCTTACCAGTGGATTTTTCAAGTACATCAGGTTCCTGTCTTGAGAATCCAGGCAGAACCAGCGCACCTTGAAGGGCTCCTTCTGCTGCAAGGAGATGGTAGAAATTCTTTAAAGACCACGTCCCAGAGGGGGAGTTTGGCAGATCCCTGGACTGCTTAAATGACTCAGAGCTTGAGTTCAGTTTCATTCATCCCCATAACTGGCAACAGGTGAGTCACTGCTGTGTGCAGCCCTTCTCCCTGGGTCCACACTAGGGATTTGCTTTCAATGACAATCCTTTGGGTAAGGAAGGGAAGTTTGGTGCTACCAGTGGTCAGATTATCAAGATTAAGAAAATTGCAACCAATGGATTAATTGGAAGCACTGCAGTGATCCCTGGGCCAGTGGCGATAATGAGGAGAATGTGCAACCAATTTCAACATTTTGGTTTGGGGGGGTTGACCCTAGCACTGTGGGATGCACAATGGTAGGTTTTTTTCAAAGTGCTAATTCCATCACCTACACTCATCTGACTGTTCCCTGAGCTATTCACTGCTCTGTGCTGAACTTAAGTGTCCTCTTCTAGGGTTCACTTCAGTCTGAGCAGAATTTAGGCCTCAGGAGAAAAACACACAATCTTTCATGCTTGTAGGTGTGAGTGAGCCCTGTGCAAGTACCCGCAGGAAGATGTACTGGGACCCTAGCACTGAGCTGGGCCAAAACCCCAGCATATTCAATATCAGCATTATACCACTGAACTTTTTAATATAACTTTGGCTCATGGTTCACTCAGAGGAGAGCAAGGCAAGAAGCAGCAATGTTCAAACAAGACTTCAGATCTTTATCTCTTCCTTCAGCAGTACCTGAGATCTCCCTCTCCTGTTCCAAGCAGCAGTGGCCCAAACACTTTCCCACAAAAACCCAAACCAAACCATAGGCTTCATTGTGGAGAATTTGCTCAATCATACTTTTGCTGCTATAAGCAGATATGACTTATGCGCTACTGACTTTTATGAGAAACAGGGAAGTAGGGGAGTCAGCATGTGATACTCTGTTCTAGCAGGAGCTGCAGTTCTAGAGCTGCAGTTAGCAGATACAGCAATCCATTTAGTGTTGCATAACGGGACTTTGCACATCCACTGCCAGCTAATCCATCTTGCTTACTCTTCAAGGAGAGTTCTTCTTTCCAGTCTTACTTTCAACACAAAATAAAACGTGATCCCAAAGAACACAACAAGCTTGAATATAATGTTTTTTATCGACCCAGGAAGCATATAGTCACTCAACAAATCATTTACTAGTAAACATCATAGAGTTATCACATATTCTCCATCTGGAATAATACTATTTGTATATCGCCAAGTATACACTTACTTTTGGTCCTGTCTTCTCCATATATCCTTCTTTGACATAATTTCTTGTGATCCTGGGTATGAGCTAGGAGAACACAAACACACACACAAAAGTCTGTCTCATTCAAGCTCGCTTTTCTGTTCTGTTTCTGTCAAAGCTAATCCCCATCAATTTTGGCTTTTGGGGTCTGGGGTTTTTTGGCTGCTCAGTAAAGGGAAGTCTGAAATAAGAAGGAACATAAGATTTTTGAAAGATAACACTTTATAAGGACTATATGGAGACTTTTAAGCCTAAACTGTTGACTAATTTTTTTCATGTTATGCAGCACAGCCTTTCCTTCTACCTATTCTGTCCATTCCCAAGACCCATATGCTGCTGTTTGAGCACCTGACTCTGGCAGAAGTAGTGAGAAAATATTTTCCCATGCTATGTTTGCACAGACTGCTTCAAGCCCTGTTCAGTTCTCACCTCAGACTCAGGGACAGTTGGGAAGGTTGTTCTGAGATAATAGTAACGTGCTGCCCGAATGGCATTGAACCAGTCAACAATCTCCTAGGGAAAATAGCAAATACAAACATAAAGACAAGAATAAGCAAGAAGTAAGAGTGCTGCCTCTCCAAAACACCTCTCTCCTTCCTTGGGACCTCTTTGCAAAGATGTACTTTCTCCCCAAGGGGCATAGAGTCAGTGACTTGTCCCAGACACCTGAAAAACATTGAGCCTCCAAAATAATTTAAAAATGCCCCATGGACAGTCACCCAAGTCTCTGTACACAGGATTTTTCAGTTGATTCATTTATGGATTGTTTAAAAACCTTTGTACTTGGAAAGACATGAGAACTATGGCAAGGTAAGAAACAGAAATGTAACAAAACCCATAGACATACTTCTTAAAATTATCGTTCTTTGCTTGGAAATAATGCAGAACAATATTTTCTATGTATGTCAAGAAGCTTCAAATAATATAACCATAGAATTGTATAAAACCATGAGACTGTTACCTCGCAGAGATTTACATACATGTCCCACTGAAGCCTTAAGACTATTCAGGGTGTGAAGCTGAATCTATGCCCCAACAGAACAGGAGAAAGGTGTTACAGTTATTAGTGTCAAATTCTGCAACTTTCTACATTCTACAAGTCACAGTGACTTCTAATCAAACCAGATCCTGCAGAAACAGGCTATTTCTTCCAAAATATAGATCCAACATCTAAGCATCTTGCTTATTCCAAAATCTCCATGGTATTCACCTTTCCACTTTCGTGATAGACAAAAAGGTTCCTTGTTTGACCATCTGTCTTGTATGTGATCTGCAGCCCGTGAGCATGTTGGATTTTCTCTGTCTGGAACATTGCATTCAAATTCTCAATGCTGATAATGGCTTTTGGACCTCTGGACTGTGAAATCAAAAGCATCACTGTATTAAAGTGCTCTCAGGAAGGCAATGAAGGACAGATTAGTTGTATGAGAACTAGATCCCTATTGAAGAGAAAGCAGATGTCCTAAAATATCTGAATATGGGATATACCTGAAATATAAAGCCTCAATTACATGCTACATAAAATCACTTACAAAGAGTGACTCCCTTTCCTAGACAAATGCTGAGCTGCTATTTGAGAGGGATGTGTCTGAATTGCAAGGGATGGGTTCTACCTCCAGCCTCATAGTTGGAGAGCAATTAGCCACACTTGCCCACAGAAGGGAGATGTGTTGAGGATGACGCTGCAGTGGCTGATGAGAGAATATTTTGGTAATATAACAGCTAATAGCTGCCGACAGATCTCTTCTCATTTTGCTATTCAACTGCCAGTATCCATTTCCTTTGTTCACTAAGCAAAAGGAGGCTGCAGGGTTAAGATAAGGCATGAGGAAAATGGCTAAATCCAAAAGAGCAATTGCCTAAGATACCACATATGTTAATGGAGAAACAACTGGGCTCCTCCAGACACAGGCTGGCCTGGCTGCAAAACTAAAGACAAAGCTATTTATGCTAGGTTTTGCTGGTGAAGAACAGGGTCTGAGGACAGATGTTGACCAGCTACCTATGGCCAGCTCTGGCTGAGGAACTCACTTCTTTGGTGTAGTATTTCATCACCCCTTCCCTTGCTGATAGGAGAAATCGCCTCTTCTGGAACTGTCTGCTTTCCCGCCCACGCTTCCAGAGGAATCCTTCATGGCTACCTGCAGATGGGGCCAAGATAAATGTCAGAAAAGGGCAGCACAATAGCAGGACTGATTATCTAAACGGTGATGTGGCACAGAGTTTCAAGTCTCTTCTCCATCTGAGAATTTTCACCTCATACAAAAAAAATCAGAGAACTAGAGAACTGTAAGATCTGAATACACCCTCGCACTTGTCTAAGTGCCTTTTCTCGGGAGCTTCTTCTGAAAGCAAGGCCTGCACATCCAACAGTTCAAATAGGAAAAGCCAACCTGGAAGACCTTCAAAGCTGCAAACAGAACACTGCTGTTGGCCTTAAGACTAACACTTTTTCCCTGACAATCCTAACTTTTACCTGCAGAACAAGGATCTTGGCAGACTCGGGTGGCAACAAATTCCTCACGCTCATATTTAGCTCTAATCCATTGCTCTTTTAAAACCCTGAAAGAGGAAAACATGGATAAAGCTGATCTGCCTCTACTCTATTTTCACCAACCAGCCCGAGACCTGTAGAGGGAAGCAGTAGTTCAAGATCTGTAAAGGTCTGTAGCAGTGAATACACCATCAACTTACAAGCAATCACAGGACTGGGGGATGTAATAGTAGGGAGGGACTTTCGCCTGATATTTAGCTTTGGCACAGAGATTTCCATGCTGCTTCATAAACTGAAATACAAAAGAAGTAAGAGTACAAAATCAATACCATGCCATGAACATAAAATGAAACTTGTATCAAAGGGAGCACTGCAAATTTTTGCTCAGTCTTGCCATAACTCTCAGGGGTCTCTACAAACATTTATAAATTCCCTTTGGCACTATGGTTTGCCCTTTTTAGGTGGCTGAGCCTTTTTCAGTATTTACAGTTCTGAACCGGATGGGAAGGAACACAAGATTGTGGCTGTTGATTAAAAGAACAAAATAACTGTAAAGTTACTGTATGCTATTAAAAAAAATACACTGCAGGCTGTTAGAAACATGATCACCTGTCACTGTAATTTGATTGAGTAGATCATTAAAAAAACCCCTAAAGTTACCACGGAGTTAACTTGGTTCTCTGTGGCTTCCTCTGTCCATGGTGGATGACATCAGAATTATGAAGCAGAGGAGGCTATGATGAAACATGGAGGAATTTAAATGAATTACTGCTTTTTCCTCTGTACCTCTATAAGATCGTTCTCCCAGAAGTCAAGGCGAAGGGATTTGACCCTGCTGATTTGAGGAAGATTGCGGTGGATTCCAGAGCAATTCAAACAAATGAATATTCCAAGTTTGTAAGAAGCCCACTCTGGATCTAAGATACAAACACAAAGAATGAACTAATACATGGGAAAAGGCACAGCCACTGGCAAGGGCAAAAAAGCACATCTGATGCACAGCCCAGGCTTCACAGAGAATACTTCAAATCCCAGCCCACTGTGCATGGCTGTCACTTGTGTTCAGGGGAACAGCACCTGTTTTCCCCAACGAAGAATGTGGCCCCTGCCACTTGCAGGCTCTTTCACTGACTATTTGTTTAAAAATTAATGTGACTGTGCAGGCAGCTGAGTGGTGATGTAAAAGCTCAGCTAATTATTAGTTCTGCATGAAAAGGTGCTGTTGCTGAGTTAACAATGGAAGGATGTTGCAGGCAGTGAGCACTGCTGGGAGTACAACCACCTAGAGCCAGGGCTCGTGTCCATGGCCCACGACAGCTCCTGCTCCTGCCTGCTGCCGCATCCCCTGCAGCAGCCTCGACAGGTCGATGCTTGGAGGCGTTCCGAGGGCTCTGGCAAGACCATTTCCTTGGACTGACACTCTCACCGTGTCGCCCTCCGCTCCTCCCTTATCACAGCCAACAGAAGCTACTTGTTGTCTTCTTCCAGCTGCTGTTGGCTACCGATTGACGGCTGCCTTGGGTGAGGGTGACTCCCACGCCGAAGGAGCGCAGGCTGCCAGCCCACCGTGGGCTTTCCCGCAGGCTCTCTGCTGCCTTTCCCCCGGGCAGAGACGTTCCCTCCGCTCCCCTCCTCCGGCCTCGTGCACCGTCTACAAACAACTCTGGGGAAGCTGCTGGTGCGCCGAGGCCACCTCCTGTCCCCCGCTGTCGTCTCCGCATCCCCCGGGGCTCCCACCACCGCTCCTGGCCCGGCCCGGCGGGGACCAGCCCTGGCCCGCCCGCCCGGCAGCCCCGCGGGGCTCCCCCGAGA